ATAACTGAAAGTAATGGGAAACTGTTTCCGAAAAGAGTCAGTGTCATTTTGAGTGAATGTCATTTTTCACAAACAGAATTCACTTCCATTGTACTGAGACGGTGGCAGAAGTAGGGCTAATACGATACCATGTTTTCTGGTCAATAACAACACAAAATTATCTTTGAGACCTTTTGACAAACCCTTTTTTGTTTTTTTCATTTTGCAGAACATGTCAAACTTATCTGGTACACAAGCAGACACACAATAACCTGAATAATACAATCCAAAGTTGACAAAATATTTTTTATATGATTAAAAGCTGCATTAATCAGTTTTACTTTGGCCACGTTGTGACAGTTCTTTACCACAAGCTGAAATCACACATTAAATCCTGATAAAGTTGATATGGTGAAACCTGTAAGCAAAGATTTGCCTGTTTACACATTCAGCAGACATGGATATTAGCATCTTATGATATTTAAGTCTAAATCTCTCCTTTTAACTCTGTTTTGGTCTCCACCAACTCCTAAGATAGCTAGTTAGCTGCTAAATGCTTCACTATATTTACCAGCTACTCCCTGGCCTTGCAGGCTGTTTGGTGCCAGGCAGGTACTGTACAGCTTATCGGAAATTTTTTCACTGAAAACAGCTGCTGGGATCAAAGCTGTGACAGTGAGTGAGTGTGACCCAAACCGTCAAGCTGTGGGCCATACAACCAAATTAACACACTGAATGATGCTATAAAGCTCTACTACGAGTCACACCTTTAACATTACTCGTTCTTTTGATTAATTGTTCATAGACAAATATTGATAAGATCAGCTTCACAAATCACACACTTGTGATTAAAGTGACTATAATCAGTATTTTTTAATGTATACATGACAGTGTGGGGTTCTCGCTTTGATGAACTTACAGATGATTATAATTGTTTTATAGAGCTCTATCGTGAGTTCAGGCCATAGACTGTAAAAATAATGGACATAGCCACCGTGACGTCATCCATTGGTTTGTGGACTCCAATTTTGAAGCTTTAAGTTCAGCATTTCAGTTGTCTCCATCTTGTTTTTTGGAGCCAGAAGTGACCATATTTGGGTAAGAGGCTGGAGCTGTGGAGGAGAGAGGGGTGGATCTGACTGAGAAGCCAAGGACACTATCCGCAGACAGCCCGTCACTCAGTGTGGCCACGCAGTTAATATGCATAGCTTTAAGCCTTAATAATATGTGAATAGGTGAGTGATAAAAAAATTCACAGGAAAATTAGCTATAGAGACCAAAACCGTTTTTTCTACCAGGCTGTAAACACGTTTGTTTTGGCTGTAAAGTTGGGCATTTTAACATGGTGGTCTATGGGGATTGGCTGGCTTCTGGAGTCAGCCTCAAGTGGCCATTAGAGGAACTACAGTTTTTGATACCTCTATGTTGGACTGATTTTTGTCAGCCCTGGAGGCTGCTTCTTGGTTTGGGCTCATTATTTAGCTGTCCGACCCACAACTTACTCTACTGTTTTGGCTCACTCCCACCGCTCTCATGGTGCCGTGTTCGACCACAAGCAGCTGTTTTCAGAGGAAAAGCTTTTAAAACCTTATATAAAACCAGCTGGTGAATGCACAGACATGTAGTAGTTAGCTGCTGGTGAACATAGTGGAACATTTAGCATAAGAGACAAATATTTTGCAGAGTTGGTAAAGACCAAAAACAGCATTAAAAGACAGTTATTATTGGTCTTTCATTGATCAGGTGGTCGAAACATGACTCCAGATAGGATAATGTTAATGCTTGTTAACTGCTGGATGTGTAAAAAACAACCGTTTGCTAACAACTTTGCTATCTCAACTTTAAAGGCGATAATATGGTATGGTTACGTTCACAATTACTTTGTGACCCAAGTGGCCAAAAAAATCAGTTACTGCAGGTTTAAAGAATATGCTAAGAGAAGTGAATGAATCTGGTCAAGCAGATACCACCTTTCAATACTTGCAGCTTGATACGTATTTCTGTCTGCACCCAAAAAGTAGTAGTTGTTTGTTTGCCTCCTCACTTCTGTTTCTCATGTGTGCTAAGCTGAACTGTCAGTCAGTGACAGGCTCTGTTGTCTCCAATGCTGATTGCTGAATCGGTCAAAAAACGGCTGATGCAATTGACGAGGGCTGAAGGTGCGGAACGTACCACAAAAACTAGGGCAACAGATGCTTACTAACGGCCCACCATTGACCATTAGCTTGGTGTGACAGGGAGTGTGAGCGGAAACTTTTTTAGTTATTTGGATGGACCAACACTTCACCTGAACTGCTGAGAATTCAGACTGACATTATTGGGAGCAGCAAGAAATACAGCACTCCAGGACAAATTATTTTAACCAGCTTTCTAACTTCACACCCTCTCACTAACTAATGAGAATGAATGTCTCCAGCCAAGTCTGTCAAAATAAGCATATCTGCCCCACACATGAAATTGATCCCCTGACTTATTTCATCAAGATCTGACTCCTCATTTACATCTGCAGCTCTGTGACAGCACATATTGTGAGGTTTCTGCACGCACTCACAAACAACTTCCAGTAAATCTAGTTCTGTAAATTACAATGACAGCTAAATTAGAGCTTTTTTTTCTAGGAAACCAAAATACATTTCAGCCTCACAGCAGGAAGGAACATAGCCACACACACACTCTGCAAACATACCAAGAACTCAAAAGCCATCCAAGCGAGTAGTTAAGAACTTTACTAATTAATGCCGATAGATTTTCTCCCAGAGTGGCAGCTGTTGGATGTGTTCAATAAATACCTTGGTAATACAACTGTTGCAGCTTTATAGAAAACATGCTGGTGACTGGCCTTCATGCTGTGATTAATGTCAGCAGTGTTTAAGCACACGTTTGGCCTTTGATACATATCCACGCTGTCAAACCCACTATAATTACACATAGTTTATGGATTAATTTTTATTGCTCTTGTGTGAATAATTAGCTATTGTAGTCTAGCAGAGGCAAACATGTCTAATCAATCATCAGTGTGTACTTTCACAGGTGGGGGACAAATGCTGTGCATCAGTGAGTCATTTTCTTAACATAGCACTGTTGCGTGCCTTGTTGGGTATAATTGTCTAACAATTGAGATGATCAGCAGGTTCCCATCCTTTGACTCATAAATTCATCACTCTTAGACAGTTCCAGGTCTGAGAGCAGTGGCACGCAACCAAAGTCTGAGGAGAGAGTGAAACAAAACCACCACCACCTCCGCACACACAACACTGTGACTGCTGTTTCTTTCTCCCGTCACCCGAGGCTATCCGTGTCTTCTCATGCTCAACGGCCTGTCGGACAGGGGAATTACACGAAATACACAGGACAGCACACTGGTTGTTTATCACTCACGCTGTTTACTCAGTGTGTTTGGTATGTCTCAGTCAGAGAGAAAAAAAAAGAGAAAACAAAAACACATACTGAAGGCAAAGTGATTAACTGTGAGGTCTGAAAAATACAAATCACGCACAATCATTAACATATTGAATACATTTTTTTTTTACATTGCTTTGCTCTATACTCAATTCTGACTGATCAATTACTGTGTAGTACATTCGGTGACATCTGAATACGAGGTTTGTGACACTTTTTTATCTTAACAAATTCCACACATTTCTAGACTCAAAATCCCAAACTTCTCTGGAATTGATTTTTCAGATCATATTTGACATCTAAGCACAAATAGCTAGACTGTTTTTATGTGAATAAATGGTTTTAGAATCCAACTGTTATGTTACATGACTACACTCACCAGCCATTTTATGAGGTACACCTTGCTAGTACTTGGTTGTACTCCTTTTGCCTTCAGAACTGCCTTGATTTTTTGAGGCACAGATGCAACAAGGTGCTGGAAACATTCCTCAGAGATTTTGGTCCATATTGACATGATAGCATCACTCAGTTGCTGCAGATTTGTCAGCTGTGCATCCATGATGTGAATCTCCCGTTCCATCAATAGATCTGGGGATCTGGTGACTGTGGAGGCCATTGGAGAACAGTGAAGTGTCATGTTCAAAAGACCAGTTTGAGATGATTTGAGTTTTGTGACATGGCGCGTTATCCTGCTGGAAGTAGCCATCAGAAGATGGGTACACTGTGGTCATAAAGGGATGGACACGGTCAGCAACAATACTCAGGTAGACTGTGGTGTTTAAACCATGCTCAGTTGGTACTGAGGGGCCCAAAGTGTGCCAAGTAAATATCCCCCACACCATTACACCACCACCAGCAGCCTGAACCTGTGATACAAGGCAGGATGGATCCATGCTTTCATGTTGTTTACACCAAATTCTGACCCTACTGTCTGAATGTTGCAGCAGAAATCGAGACTCGTCAGACCAGGCACTGTTTTTACAATCTTCTATTGTCCAAGTGAGACCATATGAACTGTAGCCTCAGTTTCCTGTTCTTAGCTGACAGCAGTGGCACCTGGTGCTTCGACGTGTTGTTGGCTCAGAGATGGTCTTCTGCAGACCTTGGTTGTAACCAGTGGTTATTTGAGTTACTGTTGCCTTTCTATCATCTTGAACCAGTCTGGCCATTCTCCTCTGACCTCTGGCATCAACAAGGCATTTTCACCCAGAGAACTGCTGCTCTCTGGATATTTTCTCTGTAAACCCTAGAGATGGTTGTGCATGAAAATCCCACTTGATCAGCAGTTTCTGAAATACTCAGACCAGCCTGTCTGGCACCAACAACCATGCTACATCCAAAGTCACTTAAATCACCTTTCTTCCCCATTCTGATGCTCAGTTTGAACTGCAGCAGGTCACCGATGTCCAGATTTGGTGCAGTTACAAGGCACTCAGGGTGGAGGTGTTTTGCAGGATGACGTACAGGCGTAGAAGCTGCTCTGCAAAGGACTGTGTGTAGTTGCACATCACACCTCTTGCCTTGCTTTCGACAACTGCAAGCTCGCTCAGGCCAGCACGCTCTCACAGTGTTTAACTCTTTGGCTGTGCTGCCTGCTCCAAACACCATGAAAAACACTCTGCTTGTATGATTCATTTATTTTTTTTATTTTTATTTTTTTAGAAATTCTGAATTTCATATTAAAAAACAGAATAGGGGCAATAGTCTGAAAATACAAATATTTTTACAATTCTTTTTGCAATAGTTGTTCAGACCTTGAAATGAACTAAATCAAATTCCATACTTTTCCATGCTGCACAGGAGCCCTGTGAATAGCAGACTGTTGCTATGGACGCAGTTCTGATGATAGACAGGAAGCAGAAGCAACAAAAACTTTCAAATGAATATTTTGTCTCAAATGACTGATTTTTTTTAGTAATAAGCAAGGATATAACAAGTGGGTCATTACTGCAAAATTAACACCTTCAGGGTGATAAAAGACCCCTCCTCCATCACTGTGGTGAGATTTTTTTTTTCAGAATAATGACCTGCTCACTGTACAGTGTCCCTTACTTACTCAAAGACGAGATGGTTAAGAAAGGACATAAAAAGTTAAACAACATGAAAACAAATATTTCACATTATGCATAGGTAAACACGCTGCAAAAAATCAAACTTTCAAGAACCAAGTCTGTGTTACATAGCCTTTTATACGGCAGTGCTGCATTAGTGCCGGGGTATCTGAAGGTTGGTTGTGAGGCTGGGGAGGCAGCAAGTGAAGCAAACCTCTGTCCTTCTGTTGTACACTTGCACTGCACTGCCACCTTGTGGCCATTTACCAACCACACTGCCTGAGTTCCTACTCAGACACTACAGGAGGTCATATCAAACAGTCCTTGTGTCCAATCTCACAGAACAATCTGCATTTATGTTATTACTAAAGATCGTTTAAAGGAGAGCTGTAGGTTATAACGACTTGGGTTTTATCTTCATACCACAGCCTCTGGGTAGAGGCGGTTTTAAAGCAGACAGCTCATCAAGGGGGCTGAAAAATGTCAGAGTGGAACTTAACGAGAAAAAAGAGGGAAGGGCAAAATACACTTTCTGTCTTGACTTTGCTTTTTGAAGATTTAAGACCTAGAATGCAATGTTTGGCAAGAATTTCAAAAATGCCCTTAAGGTGGGTGATGAAGATGTCCCTTACATCCATGTCGTAAATCATCCAGTGGGCTAATGTGTCATCGGGTCATCCAGAAGTTAGCATGTTACAGTACCATCTGCTGTTGCAGGCAAGGCTCTTCAGCACCTTGTCAACATGTTGTCTTTGCACTTATGTCCTTACAAGTAGTATGCAATTAGTAGATCTGATGTCATCTCTTTAAGAGGCTGTTAACAGCTTTGAGTTCATCAGTTGACAGTGGAGAAAGATTGTAGCCTCTCAGCTCAGGTTTCCCTGCAAATGAACAAAAAGACACATCATGCACACACTGCTGGGAAGACATTTAGTGTGATGGCAGACCAGCTCTCACTTCAGCTATTATGAAATTTTTTTTAAAGATATTTTTTGGGCTTTTTGGCCTTTAATTGATAGGACAGACTAGTGTGAAAGGGGGAGAGAGAGAGAGGGAGTGACATGCAGCAAAGGGCCACAGGCTGGAGTCGAGCCCGGGCCGCTGCAGCAACAGCCTTGTACATGGGGCGCCTGCTCTACCACTAAGCCACCGACACCCCCCTAAGGAGATAGTGTTAAAAAAATAGTAGCAACTGACACTGTTCCACTTGGATTGGATTTTAATGAAGGACTTCCCCTTTTCAACTGGTTATCAGAGGACTAATTATTGAGGGGCAATCCCTCCCTGAACCACTGGGAGACAGTCAGAGTTCAAGGACATGTCAGCATCTATGAGAGATTGAACAGAAATTACTGGAGACATTCTGCCAGAGTGTGAGTGACTGCAGACATATTTTTAGAGATCATAACATGTGTTTTCTATTTCTGTTTTCCTATAATAGTATTGCTGCCTATTAAAAGCTTTAATTAGAAGCATTTCCAAACAACATCCCTCCAGATCTTACCTCATATCCCTTCTGTTGATTTGGGCCCTAATCAGTTCATGTGCAGAGGTGCCATTAGCATATTACGAACTGTGCTCCCAACGCATTCCTGCATTTAGCTAACGAGTGCAGCCTTCACCACCAGCATCAGTGGAAGTGAACTGACTTCTAACACAGCAAAGAATAAACAACAGTGTTGTAACAGAAACACCTTTACAATATATTATGGCCTAATTTAACCCCACAAACATCTACAGCCTTCAAAATGAATCAATGCCTCTCCAACAGTCTAACCAAAAGCTAAACATGTTCAAGAAGAAGCACTTACTGTAAAGCTGTGGGACTGCAGCAGACTGTAAAGGTGTTCAGGGTGTAATATAAAAGTAGCCTACTAACATTGGCTGTTACATTATAGCTTTGCACCCCAATCCTGAACCAAATAGTTTGATATGTGGGATACACTTTCTCACAGTTTATCCATATCTGTTTTTACACCGTCGATTAGTCTGCTCAGTAGTGACAGGCGGATATGATTGAACAAATTTTTGTGAACAGCTCTTTTCAGTTTTAGACTCAAATTTCTGAGTTCTGAGTGTGAGTAACGAATAAACTAGATTTGATTCCAAACAGCCTGGCAGCTACTCTTGGTCTGACAAGACCAAATCAAAGTGGTGCATCTGTTGCTTGTCCCTAAAAAGAACAACAGATCCTTGATCAGTGACATTTCTGTAACATTGTATTGAGCTTACATAGCCTACCTACGTGCAAGTGGGATGTGGAATCGGTGCTTTAAAACTAATATTCTATTTTTATTTATTTAAATTTGATGACTTTAATGGACTGAAGAGAAGAAGTTTTGTGGGGCAGGTGGCAACAGCTGTTGAACATGCATGTAATATAACAGAGTGTCGCGGGGAAACTGGCAACATATCTTTGCAAAAAGTATCAAAACTTGAAAAGTTCAATACATTTACATTGTATCAACTTGAAGGAACTACACTGTGAAAACAACTGGTCCTCCCGTCACTACCACTGTGCAGCGTCTCTGCTGGTTGCCCGACTGCATCACAATGACAACACAGTGACAGTGACTATGGGAAGCCACCGTGTCTGGCTGCTGTTGTTGTTGTAGATGCTCCATGCAACAGCTCACAAAATCACAGTGTTGTTTTCACATAGTAAATGTACAATAAAACAGAAAGATACAATTGGTAATGAGTGGGTTTTAAATGTGCTTCCAGTCTAACGCTAAACTAACTGCTTCCTCCTCCAACATACATGAGTATCAATCTTCTCAGCAAGAAGCACACAAGTGTATTTCCCAAAATGTCAAACTATCTCTTTAAATGAGCACGTTGCAGTGGTCCAACTGATCAACTGAAATGTTCTTCATACCTTGTATCTCATTTAGACGATTGACTTTTGCTTTCAGTCCTTTGCGAAGGTCGTTTATCTCCTTGTCCAGCTGCTCTTGATCTGCAGATGACAAAGTCACAGAGTCAGAATGATCTCATATGCAGCTACAACATGTGTACAACAAATCTAGTTATATTCAAATTTATGTTGAAAATCTATCCAGTAAATTTAGATTTTATTACCTTTCTGAATCATATCTCTCGTCTTCGATTTGGGAAATTTGATGAACATGTTTCCGAAACAAACCTTAACTTTCTCTGCAAATGAGAACAGTGTTTCGTCAACAGCTTGAAGTACAACTATACACCATCTGACTCACTCCCATTATGAAATCACTGGGATAATTGTTTTCACAATCTAAGCCAATGTGTCCATGGTGTTACTGTTTGAATATCAGAGCCACGATGTGCATGAATACACTGACACTTCACATAACGAAGCCTTTTCTCTGAAAACATTCTGTCACGAGGGGTCACTCACCCGAATCTGGTATTTCATGTTTCAGTGCATTAAGTGCCTCTCTGTTCCTGTTTCTCTTTGTGTCCAGGTCCACTATCTGAAACATCAACAGAGAGAACATTCATTCTCAGCATTATACAGTAGGTGATGCTGCAACATCAATTTGGGTTTTAATTACGGAGTGTGGGGAAGTCAAAGCAAGCTAATATTAATCGTAAACTAGTGGGGACTTGAAGACTAAAACAGAATCAGAATCATAGTTGGTTATGTTGATTAGTTAAACAGAGGTTTTGTATCATAAATAGGCAATATCCTACAGTGTTTATGGGGGAGAAAATGACTGTAATACTGCCATGGGGCATTTGTCAGATGCCATTATTTTAAATGTCTGTTACTGTTGTATTGCAATGTACTGAGTGACCATCAAAATAGAAACTTTAGGTTGTTTTTTTTCTACGACAGACAATGAACTGTAAATGTAGCTGAAGCTAAACAGAATGTGAACCAGGAGTTAGCCTAGCTGCTAACAGCTAGCTAGCTTCTCAGTAGCATTAGCTGATATATGGGTCCTCCTTATGGCCCTTCTCTGCTTATTATTATCAACAGCTTATTGTTGCCATGTAATTATTTAGTTACCTGCTGTTTAGTGGTGAGAACATCCTCAGCTGCCTCCTCTACTTCTGTCAAATAATCCAAAGCACGCTGGGATTCAGCGTCCATGGTGGCTGTGTCGCTATGAAAAATACGTCCGGTCTGAAACGACGATCTGAAATGGAAAGTTCCGCTTAAATAATCCCCTATGTTTCGTGTACCCTCCGTCCAAAGATGTGTTCAGCTTTTAATAACAGTTAATCTCATCTGTAATTACTTTACATCTTAGTTTAATAGGTTTTCCCTTTAGGTCACTGCAATAAGCCTTGAACTGAGTAATGATGTAGTTACATCAACAGATAGATAGATAGATAGATAGATAGATAGATAATTTATTTATTTATGTTCTGGATATGATGTTATAACTATTGGTGCTGCTATACATTTTGTACTGCTGCCTCTATCATTTGCGATGCATCACATGAAAAAAGTGAGATGACATCCTGCACTGACACACAGTAGGCCGATAGCACCATCTTCTGTTCATCTATGTTATTGTTCATCTGTCTTTGTACTGTACCCTCCAAGAAACACATCAGATTCTCACAATGAACAATGTTAGTAGTCAGGGAAAAAAGACAGTGGGCAGGTAAGTGTATGCCATGATTTCAATAGTTTATTTATTCATTAATTAATCAGTTATTCAATCAATTTTATGCCTGTTGGCAGTCACAGTACATTCAATTTCTCATTTCATAACAGTGTAGACAAATCACACAAAATATCACATCTCATACAAAATCTAAACTTATCTTTTATAAAACATTTAGACATCTGTGGGTTTTTTTTCTTTATTTTATTTTAAATACAGTATTCTATTTTTTTAACGGCATAAAACTCACTGAGAAAGATGAAAACATCTGTTAAAATACATATATATTATTTCTTTTGTCATTACAGTATTTAAAATAGCTTCATTTACCACAACTAAATGCACAGTAATACTTCTGCCACTGAGGGAAAGAAGGGGGAGGATGGAAGAATAACATCCACAGCTATACATCCCTCTGAAGTCCCAGCAGGTTCACCCTATATTTCTCTCCTCACTGCCTTTATCTTTGCTTGTACTCAGTGATAGGTGAAAAGGGTTAAATGGTCACAACACAATTCTTCCATCAGCGTCATTCACTTTGAGAGGTAGAAAAATCTTTCAGGGGCCATTTAACTTTCACTGACATTCGTCACTTCACTCAAACACAAACTCTCGACTGCAATGGAGGGCTTTGGGGGTTCACTGTCTGGCTTACGAGCAATTTGGACGCACTCTGCTTTTGAGGTCAAATCAACAACTCTCTGGTTACTGATTAGCTTCTTTACCTCTGTTTTCCTTAAAGGAAAACTTCGGTATTTTTCAACCTGGGCTCTATTTCCCCATGTGTATGTGTGCGTATGATTCATGGGTACCACTTGTTCTAAAATTGGTTCCGTATTGAGGCACGAAACGAGCTAAAACGGTAATGGGGGCAAATGCGTCCCGTATAAAAGTGCTTTTTTTTCGTCACTGACCAGTTCAGATCGCCAGTGTTATCTCTGTAGATAGCATATTGTAGCGGCCCTGGGGCAGTGGTGACTGTGAATGAGTGGAGTCAGCTGTCAGTCAGTATTGGAGCAGAGAGGTCCCCGCTGGGTACTGTAAGTGAGTATGTGTGTGTGAAGTGTATGTTACGCTAGAAGAGTCAGAGGACGGAGTCTTTTACGTGCTACCCCCTGGAGTGTTACTGGAGTTTTTGGAGTGCTCATATGAACGGGCCTTTTTCCCGAACGCAAGAACAGGATGTCGCGCAACACCCCGTACAGCTTTCATAGGCTGCCTTTGTCGGAAGGCGAGATGCTGAAGTTGTGGCTAGTTGTGCTACAAATGGATGCTAACACTCCTCTGCAGACACTGCGCCTTGCAGACCATCGGTTCTGCAGTGCTCACTTCTCCCAAGATGACTACTGCCAGCCGAAGAAGAGAAGACATCCAATCCCGAAACACCTTCCTCAAGAAAACGGCTGTCCCACAAGTAGAGAGCTACAGACACAGTGGAGCAAAGATTGTGACATCACACAGCCCAGAGGTAAGGGAAAGGCTAACTTAGTATGCTATTTACAGAGATAGCACTGGCGATCTGAACCGGTCAGTGGCGAAAAAACACACGCTTCATACACACATACTCACTTACAGTAAGTTACCAAGTGGGGACGCCCTCCCCCTCTCTGCTCCAACACTGACTGACAGCTGACTCCACTCATTCACAGTCACCACTGCCCCAGGGCCGCTACCATATGCTATCTACAGAGATAGCACTGGCGATCTGAACCGGTCAGTGCCGAAAAAAGCACTTTTATACGGGACGCATTTGCCCCCATTACTGTTTTAGCTCGTTTCGCGCCTCAATACTGAACCAATTTTAGAACGAGTGGTACCCATGAATCATACGCACACATACACATGGGGAAATAGAGCCCAGGTTGAAAAATACTGAAGTTGTCCTTTAACAATATCAAGGCATCGTTCATCTGCTCAGTTCTGTGGATTGGATTCAGTCATCTAGGGTGCAAAACCAACGGCAACTGTAGACACACAATATATTTCTTGAAGATATTTTAGCTCTTATCTGAAAGACTTCCTCAGTTCTGACAAACTTGTTGGGAGTGCCACACATTGAACCTCTGCTGGGGTCAGAGTCTTCCTAATCTTATCAAAATCCAACCATGTTTTCTTTCTGTAAAAATGTGCTTATGTTACCAGTTATATCATGACATCCACCCATCAACAATCTGCAAGATTACGTTAGCTAGCAAAAATGTGGTACATCAGTGTGTCATTTTTTCACAAATAAAGTTTCCCCAAAAATGGTCATGGGGCCGCTGCTCTAGCATTTATTCACTCTGAGGGAGGTGGTATCTGTGACAGCTTTAGATTATGTGCAAGGCATTTTAGAGTGGACTGCTTCAGCAAAGAACATTACACAGAGCAAACGATGGACTTCGTTTCTCTCCCCCCGATGGATACTGCTATAAAATCGGCAGTACACCGTTGCAGCGTCACTGTTATGACACGCCCACTTTTCAACCATCAAGGCAAATTCCTTCCAACATTATATTCCACCTGCCTATCCTTAAATATGTCACAATACTGACACTAGATACTCTTGGAATGTTGTTTGAACTGGGCTTTAATTCAGGTCCCCAGGAAGTTGGCAGAGCTCTGAAGTAAATTATCCTAGTGGCCAAAAAATATAATTACATCTGTCGTCTGACGCTGCTATGTGGCCCATAAGACTTTTTTTACATTGATTTAAATGGCAAAGGAGATGACTATATACATTTTCTTGAGCATCACACCCCCACAAAATGACTTGTTTGATTGGTACAATAACATTTGGAAGGTCTAGAGGAAACCCATGATTAAATCACTTTATCTTTATTCAAGTTAGCTGATCCCTAACCTGGAAGTAGCTGACTTTGCAGGCATGTCTGCTCTTTAGACTGCACACAGTGGAATCAGTGCTGATCATCTGGATGATTTTATATGCAGCAGTTGAACCTTTCTGGCTTCATACGCCACTGAGCAACCTTTATTGGAAAGAAGTGAGCCCTGCCTCCAATGCTCTATCCCTTACTCTTTATACATCCATGATTTAGGTTCCCAAGTGGACCATGTGGCAACATGGCAGCCACGTGAGAGTAGTTCAGCTATCAGTATTGTCCGTGTGGCAACCATTGCCATTGCTATCTCGCTCGGAATATAGAGGGCGCTGTGGACTTCTTCAAACAAAGTAATTGACGGATCAGATCTACACCAGGGTTGCATTTGTCTGTAACTCTCCAAAGCCAACAACCTGAGAAGCATGTATGATTCACACATAAATCGACCGGATGTGCAGACATGAGAGAATACGTAAGATTTGAACTTCTCTCACTGCTCTCTTTTTCTTCACACAACTACTTTGTAATTCTTCTTTGTCTTCAAACATATATCAGAGGACAGTCTTTCCTCTGATATCCCCATTGGAACTATTATCGCATCTTTTCTCTCCCTATGACTGCACGCTACTTTTGAGTGTGGTTGTTCAGAATAGCTTTTGCCCTCAGATGTGGTTGAAGCAGTTGAAGCAGTTTGTTTCAACCTTACCCCAGACTTACTCCCCACAAGTCTGAACTGAGGAAGCATTTTAGATGGAAGACTAAACGCCTTCAAAGCCACTTCTGGATATCATATGACCTGGATGACTGAGAATATTCATAGATATACTGGGGATGGAAAGGGGGTAAAGGCAGATTAAGGAGAGACAGAGAGCAGTTTAGCCACAAGCCCCCATCACTATTGTGTCTGCACATTGTTTTATCTTCTGTAGCATACAGTAAGCATAACCTCTGGGCTCAGTCACAAGGGAACTGTGAAGGACAATAAATACGTAAGATTTCACTTCTGCAGATCTATGCTTTCTAAGTTATACTGTAGCCTATGTGCTGTAATACACTGTCTATTATGGTCCAACAGCCGAAAGCTGCTTCCTGGCAATAGGTGTAGTAGAGCTGTGCAAAATATAAGGGGTAGTGGTGAGTTCTACTGAAAGTAGTTTGCTACCAGAAAGTACTTGTAGGACATACTTTCCCAGTTTAGGGTTAAGGGGTTTGGGTACAATATAGGGTCATATTTTGGAGCCATGTAAGGTAAGAAACAAAGGGAAGGGAGCCGGCTTCAGAGGACACTTCTGGTTTGTGCAAATAGGAGACTAAGAATACACACACTCATGGTGAGTTATTTACACACACAAAGCAACTGCCTCCTAACACGTTGGCTACACTAGATCAAATATAGATTCTTCACAAGCCGAAAATATCATGCACATTTTACTAAGGCAACTTCAAAAACTGGAGTGAAAGTCAGCTCTTAACACTGTTTGGAACAAAACCCCACACTGAGTTGAAACACAGGGGCACTGTAGCAAGGCAAGCCTGTCGACATGAATTCATTTTACAACAGAGTTTTGTATGATGGAGTCAGATTTGATGGTACTTTCAATGTTTGCTTCATGTGAGTAGAATTACTGTAAATGAACAGTGTGTTGCTACTTCTCCAGTGTTCAGACTATTTGTGTATGTACAACTTCAAGACTGCAGGGTGACATAGCACACACCTAGCTGCTATATTGGTGACTCTTTTGACAGGGATCTAATAATTTCATCATGGATAAATCCTTTAAATTGTTTAAATAATGTCAGTTTCTTAGCTAGCTGGCAGATCCTGGTAGCTAGTGATTTGTTTGAAGAGAGATATCCGCACATCCAACTGTCTCAGTAGCAGGTGCGTTGGAAAATATCACTTGAGTCTTTGAACAGAAAATCCTGCACACTGCTCTTGCTCAGCTTCATAATTTATAAGTAACACTAACGTTTCTATCCTACTGGACCTTTGTCAAGAGCGTTCCTGGAAACTAACCATCATAACCTCCATCTTAAGAGCTGGCAGCCTCATGATGTCCAAAATGTCCATCCCAATTGCCAGAATACATGTTGGAATTGTATGTTTCTGCAAACCACAAATATGTTTCATTTGTCTGTATTATGTAGTGGATACAATGAAAACTATCTTTTAACAACACTGTGGTTAATGTGTGGTTAGGTTTAGACACAAAAACCACTTTGTTATAGTTAGGAAAAGTATCGTTGGCACAATCCTGGCTGGATACGCAGCTATATCCCTGTATATATCACTTTATCTTTATGCGGCACTATCCCCAATGGAAACACAGCAACAGGTTGCTAAAAATCCACCATATTTGGTGGCTAAAAAGCCACTGGAAACACAGCAATGAGTCGCTAAATAACAAGAGGTTCTGTTGTTTGTTGGTCTCGAACAGTGGTTTGCAGTTTGGCAGGTGTCTCGCCGTGTCACACCATTCCCTGTACCCTCCAGCTCCCGATGACAAAGTCATATAATACGTCATTTTAGAAACATTGATATGATACAAATGAAATGTATAAATGTAACGTATCAGTGGCTTGCAGAAACCTACAATGTCAACATTTTCTTTTGGTGACTGGGCTGACATTTTACTGCTTAAGTAGCCTGTTAACTCATTTATAGCTATCAAAGACATAAATTGTTTAAATGCTCACGCTCTTTGTTATTTAGCAAGTGCCTATCAGCATTCAAGGCCCTAGCCACCATTACCATGTTCCTTCTGTGAATTTGAAGGGTTACAGCAACCTGAGGGAACTTTTGGCATTTTATAAGCTGGTATTGTGTGTTTAAATGTGCCCAAAATAATAGAATATTTAGCATTTCTCCCACTGAGTTTTGTCCTGGCATAACCTTTGAATCACCATTTAGACTTTAAGATGAGGATACATATAGCACTACTTAACAGTTTATTGAGAAAAAAAAAAAAATTGAAACCTTTTCTTTGGTTTCTGGTCATATTTTTCTAAAGAGCTGCCATGGCTGCATTTGAAGAATTTATGACCTCAGAACTTCTTAAATTTTGAGCTGGGAGGACATTTTACAATTCGGAGGTGCCACAATAAAATCAGAGAGTGTACCTTTAAGCTACATTTTGGTGTAGAGACAAGCTTAAAATTTAGTAGCACAAACATTCAGCAAAATTTGGAAACAAGTTGACGTCAGTGGACTTTACGACCTCCACTGACACCTCACCCCTTACGTCTGTACTCCTGTGATTATATTTAATGGTTCCACATATGGTAGCTACCTTAAATGGCTAGAGCCCTGGGTGTGCTCTGAATGGAAATTATACAAGTTTGCGTATATGTGTACACTACAGAAGAGCAGCTTTACTTAGGAGCCTAATGGTTGAGATCTTGGCTTGAAATGCCTGATGTTGTCAGCAGGATACTTACAAATCTCTGGTGTGTGCAGCTAAGTAATGGCAGCATGTTCAGTGTCGCTGATTGTGCAAATGTGTGCAAGCATGTACTGCATGCATGTGGAGGAAGATTATATCTCATCTCAGTCATTTCAAGTGCAGTACAAGTTTGTATCCAGGAACCCTGTGTGTCTCCATGGTCAGCTGCCTTAGAAATGAGCGTGTGCACATGAGTTTGCGTGTACATGCAGGTGTGTGCACACAGGTGAGCATGCTTGTGAGTGTGCTGAGCTGTGGTCTGAAAAGGCAGCTCCTCTTCTCTGTCTCTCTCTGATCCTCCTCTGTGACCACTAGAAGATGCTTTGTCTGCGGTTCTTTCCTCGACCTGAAGAGAGACAAATTGAGATTGTACACTTCAAATGATGATTATTCAGTGTTAACAGGCACCAACTGCAACTGATGACACAGTAATGGGAAGCAGTGACTCATGCTTTTATCTCAAAGAGGCCTTTATGCTCATTTTCAAGTCCATACTTGTATTTAAAAGGGTGCTTCACCAATTTTCAACCAGCTTTGTATCAACAATGTGACTAGTATGTGTAAATGCACTATGGAAAGCTTCCCTCCACTGAACCTGGTTCTTCCTGCTTATCTTTCAACCAAACACAATTTTCATATTGCCCACCACCCATGCGTCCACCACAGACACAAAGAGTATAGAAGTGGGTCAAGAGACAGATGTTCCTTGGAAACATATTTAGTGCCCTGTTTATCTGTAATAGCAAGAGTTTGTGAACAGGAAGTGAGCGCCATACTGTTTCCTGCACAGTATAAAACAAAGGCTGAAAAACGCGACCCCAAAGGGTAAAACTGTCCTCAATTTTAAACCAAGATTCTCTTACTGTGTAGCCTTTTTCTTTACTCAAATGTTTTCATTGACATGTTTTAGCTTACTGTGTGACTGTAATACACCATAGTTTGTTACCAGCCAGCCACCATTGTGTCAATCTGATGAGGTGACATTACGTCAACCACCAGTACGGATGTTTATTGGTCGCTCAGTGCACTCTGGTAGTTGCATGTTTTTTTTACCTCTTGGGCAAAAGCAGTGTCCTTTTTCTCCTTTTTCCACAGCCTAGTTCTATAAAAAGGCTTTCTTTCCAGTGGTGAAATACTTCTCTAAGGTTTCTACTAGAATATGTTTACATGTTAATACATCAAAACACTTTATTTTCCTCAAACTGTCTGTGCTAGCACACCTGTATTCACCCTCTGCCTGAAACGCTCTTTTTTTAGCGCCTGTCTCTTTAACCCCCCCCCACCCCAAAACCGAAAAAGCCAAGTCTGCTCTTAGTGGTCAGCATTTCCAGGTCTTCCTTATTTCACTGTCTATGCACCATCATTACAGCCAGGGCATTAGCATGTAGCCGTTAGCATGTAGCTTCATTTAGCAGTGATGGCTATGAAATGTAAACAGTCACAGTAGCATGCCTGGAGCAGATGACTATGTAACATCATGACATCATACTATAGCCTGAGTAGAAAAAACTGGTGGAAACAAGACACAGAGAAGCATAATAGGTCCCCTTTAAAAAACTTACTCTCACCTTCATCAGTTGGATGCTACTTCCTAGCATAAGTTTAGAAGTTTGGTCTTAAAGAGTTATATGAGCCTAATTAGGGGAAAATCAAGTGAAACTTCTTAGGTAAGAGCTTATCAGAGTACATACATGGGTGACAGTACTCTGCATTAAATTTATGGACAACTCAACTGTTTATTTTCATTTTATTTTCAGTTCCTCTGAGACTCTTCTCTGTGGTATTTTTATTTGTGTCACAATAAACAAAGTCAGTGAGCTGGCTTCTTACAGGGCTTTGCTAATTAGCAAAATACATCTACAGACACGTCAGTATTTCACATGATGTAGTCAGGAACAAAACAGCTGGATTTAATTCTGTTTCTTTTAGACATTTCAGGAAACTTGCAGTGATAGTGTCTAAACCACAATTATTATTAAAGTCACAAAACTTTTAATTATTATGAGTTCTGTAAAACTATTGAATATAAGAAGGAAATAAGGAAAAACAAATGTGAATACTAAGCATACTGCTGCAAACAACCTCCTGCACACTGTTTTACTTGCACAGACACTTTTATTTGCAACATATCGGTGCTACTGCTTTATCACTTTTATCACTGACCTTGACATTTGACCTTCAATCAACAAATTCTAACCAGTTTATTTTTCAGTTTAAGTTGATGTTTGTGTCAGATTTGAAGAAATCCCCTGAAGGTGTTCTTGAGATATTGTGTTCACAAGAATGAGACAAACAAGGTCACAGTGACCTTGACCTTTGACCACCAAATTCTAATCAGTTCATTGTTGAGTCCAAGTGAACATTTCCGCCAAATACGAAGAAATTCCTTCAAGGTGTTCTTGAGATATTGCGTTCAAAAGACTGAGACAGACAAGGTCACAGTGACCCTGACCTTTGACCAGCAAAATCATATCAGTTCATCCTCGAGTGAACATTTGTGCTAAGTTTGAAAAAAATTTCCATTGGGTGTTCCTGAGATATCACATTCATGAGAATGAGACAGATGAGGTCACAGTAATCTTAACCTTAGATCTTCGACCACCAAAAACTATTTAGTTCTTTGTCCAGTCCAAGTGGACATTTGTGCCAAATTTGAAGAAATTTCTTCCAGGCATTCTTGAGATATCGCGTTCACAAGAATGGGACGGACGGATGGATATACGGACAACCCGTAACCATAATGCCTCTGGCCATGGGTATCACTGGTGTGGAGGTATAAAAATGCACACAGAAAACAATGTACCGAAAATATAGAGAATATTCAACATAAGGGCTCACAAGAAAAAGTAATTCATCATTCAGTCCCTTAGGAGCCTACGTATGAAGAGTTTGAGTCCAGTACACCTGACGCTGTTTGAGTAGTTTGTTATGGTCACCACCCCTGGGTGGTTGGGTGATCTTTTCAATACCTCAGACACTTCATGAGGAGATGTCATGGGAGCTATGGGATAATCCCAATCGTTTCTGTGTATTGTGTTTTTGTGCTCACTGATCCTTTGTTTCAGTTTTCTGGATTTCTTTTTCAGGTTTTCCCACAGGTACAGTGTGTGTGGATGCACAAGTAATGACTCTGTTGATGGGAAACATTTTACCTGTGTGGGGATGGCAGAAATGATTATGTTTTCATGGTGTTATTGCACTGCCGCAGCGGTAGTTGCCCTTGGGAAGATGGTGCGATGTTCAGTCCATAACTGTGCATTTCTCGAGTGAAACTACCTCCTGGGGCCTACAGGATCTATTAATAGGGAGCTACTCAATTTAATGTATGCAGTCTTGATAGGTTAGAGGTAAATTTGATTATTGTTACTTAACACATGATGTAATGTTTGCCCACTGGAATTTTGTGCGGTATTTAGTATGAGGGTTTCTATTTATTTATTTATTGCTACTGATTTTCACTTGCTATGTAAATGTAACGCTACAGGTTCATCTACACATGTAACCTGCATATTTGAGAATGAATCTTTTTGAGAATGCAGTTTAGCCTTTGGGGGCTTTACATATATTCATTATAGGAATCCACCCCTTTAATGTAACTACTCTGGGAAACATTGTGTATGGGGTGCTTTACTTTTCAAGCTCCATGTATAATACTAGAGATGATCATAATAGTAAATTAATGTTTAGTATTTAAGGCTTCATATTGATGTGGGAATGTGATTTGCTGCAGACTTATTATCAGAAACCACTTGCCTGATGAAGGTCAAGCACTAAAACATCCAGATAAATATATTTTTGCAAGTTTGACAGTACGAGGGAATTAGTCAGATGTCTTGTCTGATGAAATAGTTTAAAGAGAGCAAATTGCTCCTCTATTCTAATGCACTGCATACACTCAGGCAACGTACCCTCATACAATGGTTCATATGAAGTTGAATCCGGCTTGCGACCCTTTCTGCATGTCATCCCCCCACTCACTCCCTCTCTTTCTCTCTGCCCATATCACCCTGTCTCTGTCCATTAAAGGCAAAAAGCCCTGAAAAAATAATCTTTAAAAAAATTAGCACTTCTTCTTGTTAGATTTAAAAAAGGAATCATGGTTGGGCATCACGTTATGTACTTAATGTAAGGTTATGTACTTAATATAACGTGACAGCGTACTTTAAAATAACATAAAGTGACTTGGTTTTATACGGGACACAAACACCCATCTCCTGGGGGAATGTCTGTGTTTGATTGACCCGTTCACCACCCCAACCTACCTCCTTGTGTGTACTTTCACTCTTTATACTACTTTCTTCTACTATCTTTTTCACCCCTGTCAGCGTATTGGTCACATGATTGCAGCCTTCATGATTACGTGAGTTATACAAATTCTGATGCATGACTTTCTGTAGGTATACATATGAACAGTGCATGAGAACAGCCTGATCCAGGATACGCATCTTGTGCACCACATTCTCGTGACCAGGTCTAAAGCTGTACCCACATCATGTGCAGAACATTCATAGCTCCCCACTATGTGGAGAAATGAATGGCATTCAGTAATGGTAGTAAAGTCACACCATGTTGTGAGATTGTGTGGCAGAAACCTTACTTAAAGGCTGAAACACTGAGCTGCGATGGCCTGGGTCCTTCTGGAGCTGCACCTCCCTGAGGGAAAACACTGAAGCAGCTAAAAAAAAGGGGGGAGAGAGAGAACGACTTAAAGGCACAGAAAAAAAGATAGATAAACAAAATATCTGTAATTGAACAGAGATTGTTTCCCCCTGCTTTCTTCATGATTGCTAGTATTTTAATAGTAATACTAGAAAAGCACTCGGAGAGCGCAGACTTCCGCCAAGCAGCTCGGATTTCCCGCCATTTTATTATTTTATCCACTTCGCTTCAACTGATCAGCACCAAAATTTTATCATCTGTTCCTTGTCCCATTTCATCAAAATCCGTTCAGAACTTTTTGAGTTATTTTGCAGACAAACAGACAAACAGACCAACGCTGGCGAAAACATAACCTCCTTGCTGGAGGTAACTACATGCAGGCTACATGCAAATTATGGGAACTTTTGAACACTTAAATAAGGCAAATAAGTAGCCACATGCAAGGTTGTAAGGGTTGTCCATGCTGGCACAATATATAGTAAGAGCAGTGGTGAGATCAGCTCTTTAATTCATTACAATCAGTGTAACCATTTCTGGACCTTTTTCTTTGTTAGGAGTGGGCACATGTTGTGCAGTTTTTGACTTAAGTGTGCAAATTGCCCAGACATTACATGATTCAACTCTGGATTTTAGAAATGCATGGCTGAGATAGCTGAGTAGCACAGTTACAGTATAAGTAAAGTGTGCTGTTCACAGCCACAGCTGCCAAAAGCTTTAGACCTAAAATACACCCAGGAAGCTTGTAAGGTGTGCTCACACTGTATGTGTGTGTGTATGTGTGTGTGTGTCTTAGGTTGCATTCACACCAAATCCGGTGTTGTAGTGACTAGCCACAGGGCTGTGTGGTGGTGTAAGAGTTACATTTAAATGGCCCATTTGTGGGGGAGTGAAGGAGTATTTTTTTCTCTAGTAACTTTGTTTGTGTTGACTTAAAAGATCTGTAGAATTCCTTTTGTAGTATCTTTACTGCCACAAAATACACATGTGCACGCATACAAAAACAAAGTGAGTGCTCTCCTTTGTAAGATAGGAGGACTTTGAACAACATACTTTGTCCAGCCCCACCGCTACAGCCTAGATACACTAGCACCATTCAAATAAAAGGTAGGACGGTGTGAATGCAGCCTTACTGTCTGACAAATTGTGTATGTTATCCCCCAGACTCAGGAAGTAGGGATGATGTAGAGCGGCTTCGGAGGAGATTCTGCTCCTGGTGTCATACTGCGAACACACCACAAAAGCAGCATGTTAGACCGTCTCTGAAATCACTGTTCCATTCTGTCTCATATCCAGATATGTGAATATCATTGTGCTGTGTTCTCATACCAGCAGCAGAGCAGACAGCAGCTCGATCCCCTCTGTGTCCAACCTGATGTAGAAAAAAAACCCATTTGTGTTATAACAAAATTGTTTGGGGAAAAATTACACACTGATACTGATAATAAAAGCAAATACAGAGGGTGTGCTTTGCTTTAATTGTTATTCTTTCTCAAATGACCCCCAATATGGTCTACATTTTTTTTAGTAAAAGCAATATTCAGCATAACTGCTAATCTAAATGGAGCAGAAAACAGCTAATATTTCTCAGCTCTTTAACAGAACTGAATACAACTTAATTATCCCCCAGAATGGTAATTGGTCTCTAGCTCACCAAAACATAAAAGCTTCATTATAGCATGCAACTTAATATACAAGATTTATGGCTCAGTTTTTTTTAGCTTTTAATATAAAATGTATATTTGGTTGCTGAAGGCAACTTATAGAGCCTCTAAGTGTTAAATAAAAGCAGTGTCTGTCAGAGTGATCATTTATTTTATCTCTTGTTCTGAACATGTACATAAAATCTGGAGCTTTCAAATTATTATATCAACCATACCACGTATTCTAGATAGCTTAATACGAAGTCTACAGTTCAGGTTACCAAACCATTATGAGAATTATAATGTTAAAACACTCTCAATCACAGGTTTGTAAACTATTTGACTCACTAAATTTACAACGGTTGGGTGTCCTAAGAAGATAAATCCATTGTGTGTAATACTGGAAAATAAACAGTTCTGAGCAGCCAATTGAGATTCTCTGAAAATACCAAGACCTTTGAAACTTTCAACAGTTTCAAGTAGGTCAGTCGGGCCAAATAGTCTGCTTCACTGTTTTTTAAAGAAGGCCAACTAAAGCCATGTCATCAGAACACTTTAACAACAGGTTTGCTCATTAATCATGAATCCATTTGTGTAGAAGTACAACAGCACAGGAAAACTAGAGACCATCTTATTTTTGGCACTCCAGGGCCTTGGTGGAGCACCAGCAATATCTTCTCACCTCAATTATTGCAACTCGCTATATTTTGGGATCATCCAGTCTGGTTAATCCTGTCTCCAACTAGTTCAAAAAGGATCCCCTCCTACACTGGCTGAAAATCCTTATGTTTGTTTGCAAGGTGTTAAATGGTTTTGTTCCATCTTACATTACATTACAGAGCTCCTGTAAGTGTTATGGGGACAAGGCCTTCTCTATATCTGCACCAAAACTATGGAATTCTCTTCCTCCCACCATCCATTTCTCCCCGACTATTGAGATCTTCAAGAGTAATCTTAAAACACACTTCGACTCATTATAATTTAACCATGCATAACTTAACAGTGTATCCTCAAACAACAGTTTATCATATCTAATGAATTAGCGCCCAATGAATAGCGTTGTCATGTTACGTACTTAGTGTACACTTACATAGGTTAGGTTTAGGCAAGCAAAGTTACATGGGCTAGGTTTAGGAAAAGAATCACAGTTGGGCATCATCACGTTAAGTACTTAACTTAAAGTTAAGTATTTAGTCAAGAGTTATGTGGGTTAGATTTAGGAAAGGAAACATGATTGGGTGTCATCACTTTATGCACATAACATAAAGTTACCTATTAGCCCAGAGATACGTGGGATAGTTTTGAGAGAAGAAACATGATTGGGCAATGTTACTTTACGTACTTAATGTCAAGTTACTTAGCTAGCCTAGAGTTACGTGGGTTATGTTTAGGAAAAGAAACATGATTGGTCATTGTCAATTTACGTACCTAATGTTATGTACTTAGCTTAGATTTAAGTGGGTTAGTTTCAGGAAACTAAATAAATCCAAATGTCAGCACTCACAAATATTATATATATCAGTCTTTTAATAACGCACAGCAGTATCACATACGGATGCATTTCAGCACTTGACTTTCCTCAGTGTTAATGCACAAAGTGGGTATAACCCACATATCTAACAGACAGGACCATTTTAATTAAATTAAAATTAAAATAAATTAAAATTAAAATAATCAGATGACATCATCTGATTATTTTAATTTTAAGTTAATTGGATTGTAGGCTCAGCATACCTACTGGCCACTCTTTGTATTGTCTTTACATCTTGCTCTGTGGATCTCTGGATCCGATTGGTTGATTGACTGATTCATGCCAGCTGGAGTGATTCAGCAAGGTCCTGTCTGTTAGATATGTGGGTTATACCCACTTTGTGCATTAACGCTGAGGAAAGCCAAGTGCTGAAACGCGTCCGTTTGTGATACTGCTGTGCGTTATTCAAAGACTGATATATATAATATTTGTGAGTGCTGACATTTGGATTTATTTAGTTTGTGAATTTTGGGTCGTCACCCTGTGATTTTTCAAACGGCGAGTCGAGCACGTCAATTCTTTTGCTTTAGTTTCAGGAAAAGAATCATGTTTGGGCGTTGTCACTTTATGTACTTAATGTAAACTTACGTTGGGTAGGTTTAGAAAAAGAAACATGATTGTGCATTGTCACTTTGTGTACTTAAAGTAAAGTTATGTACTTCGTCTAGAGTTACATGGGTTAGGTTCAGGAAAAGAATCATGTTTGGGTGTTGTCACTTTACGTACTTAACGTAAACTTACGTAAGGTAGGGTTAGGAAAAGACACATGGTGGTAATCTACCTTGAAATAAATAAATTCACATGGGACATGAACACTGGTTTCCTGAGGAAAAGGGTTTTTTTTTTTTTTTACCCATCCACCACCAAAACCTGTGTCCATACACAAACGTTTGCTTTATAGAACTTCCTTCTTTACTCCTGTCAGCACATTGGTCATGTGATCACAACCTTCCCAATTACGTGGGTTATAAATTAATTGTGATGCATTATTTTCATAGATATATGTACAATCAATACATGGGAACAGCCTGAAATGAACCAGCTCAGGTATTTCCCCTGAAGTCTCCGTAGGTCTGTGTTGTTACTATGGGCTCAGTGTTACCATGTGCTTTTACACTTGGGACCGACTTTGGTATGTGTAAAGTAGCATAAATAAAGCTGAGTTGAGTTAAAACTGTTGGTGTTACCTGGGCACATGGTTGATGAGAGCTTGAGGTCTGTATTGAGGAAAGAGGTAAGAGCGAAACTCGTCATTACTGCTGATACCAGGCCAAGTCTCTTCTGTTGCAGTGCCTGGAAGACAAAGAAACAAAGAAATGTATGGCTGCCCGCTGTCACTATTCTTACTTAACATATTAATGCTGTGTTACTATCTTACCCAGAAGCCTAAAAATTAAGTGTAGCTCCTCTTTCACTGTGGCGCCAGGAAACATGGGACGACCTGTTGCCATCTCATACAAGATACAACCCACGCCCCTGGAAGAGGAGGGAGGAGATACAGTGACGACGAGCCAACAACAAAAGTCCTTCAACATTATGGAACTCTAGGTGCGGCCATGTTCAACAAACACACACACACACACACACACACACACACACACACACACACTTCAAAGAGCACTGATCAGAAGTGCAAACATGTGTAGAGTGAGTGGGCACAGTGCAGCCTTTTGTTCCACCCAGGGCGTCGTGTTGAAGAGGTGCCCAGTGGTCTGATAAGAGGGCATATAGCTAGGTGATGCTAGAGAGCCACATTTATTCTTCAGTGAGTTGTGTGGGTTTTCTCACAATGGCAGACTGCTAATGAGCAAAAATACATAGGGAAAGTGAATTCTCATCTCCCGGCTAATAACCGGGGAGCTTTTAATAGACATGTATTATTCATGGTAGTCCTGGACAATTCTAAAGTAAGACATTCATCTGATTCACCAAGTAAACAGCAGTGCACAGTACCAGGGCTGACACCAGGGTCTTGGGGACATATAATATGCTTTGGGGTTCTCTGAAAGAGTTCAGCTTTGTTCAGATCCAGATCAAGGATGAGACGGCAGTCAGGTTACACAAAATATCCCAATCCAAGTAAAATTGGTGTAGTTTACAGTATTTTTTGCTTTCAGCCAATTTGGTCTTGGCGTTACTGGGTCAGATGAGGTGATTAGTAGAGTCAAAAATGTCGAATTTCTACACATATGGATTTTAAGATCTTAGTTCTCAACTTGCAAACTAATATGGTAGTACAAAAGCATCAGTATGACAGAGTAAATCCAACAATAAAAAATATTATATATGTGGCAACAATTAGCCCTGACCCGCATCACTAAGTGGCTGATAAAATCAGTAAATGGATTGTATTAAATACTGTTGAAATACAAACTCAGGACGGTAGGGCAATTTCTAAGACTTATAAAATTATACTCTCCAACCAAGAAAGTTTTCTTCTTTTGCACTGTTGATCAGCACACTGTGTTGGTAACAAGCTGCAGCCTCTAGAGCTGAAAAAATGAAGCCAACACAGAAGTGCCAAAAACTGCAGTTCCTTTACTGGCCACTTGGGGCTGACTCTAAAGGTGAGTCAATCCCCATAGACCCCCATGTTAAAATGCCCAACTTTACAGCAAAAATAAACGAAATGTTTTTGGTACCAAAAAAAATGGTTTTAGGAAATTTCCCTGTCATGGCAATTGTACAGTGGGTAAATTTATCTATAACTCACCCGTTTATATTTTAGGCTAATAGTTATGCATAATTAAGGGTGTGGCAGCTCTGAGCAACAAGCTGTCTGTGAGGCATCACCACAGTCTGAGTCAGATCCACCCCACCCTGTCCAAATTTGTTCACTTCTCCAATAATCCAAAATGGCAACAGCCAAAATGCCAAACTCAAGGTATCGAAACGTGAGTTTACAGACCAATGGGTGATGTCAAGGTGGCTATGTCAATTATTTTATACAGTCTATGGCTGGGAGGCAAGTACATAAATATCTATATTGCACTACTCACCACATATCGATGGGTGTGGAGTATTCTGTTGAGCCCAGCAGCACGTCAGGGGGTCGATACCATAGAGTTACCACCTCATTGGAGTAGGTCTTTGTGGGGACAGACTTGGCCCTCGCCAGACCTGGACAACACAGCACAGTTGGGGTTTAATGATGTGAGACCTCAGTAACAACTGTTTTTCTCAGACTATTGAAGCAAGCCTGCTTTTTGTGGAAATATTGATTCTCTGTCACATTGATAGCGCCTTTGTACTGAAATTCCCTCAAAATAACAAGTATTGTGTGTCTCCACAGGTGTAATGTGACACAGTACAATGCAGAAAGTCACATATAGCGGGGTAAAACTGTATCAGAGCATCGGTCTCTTTTGAAGTTTGGTCAGTTACAACTTATAGCATCTTAGCTCTAACATTGTGTTCTCATAAAAACTTTAGAATAGCCCCTCTGTTACTTCATGTGCTGTCTATAGTTAAAACTATTAAAAATAGTCAGGGAATCCTTGTGGCTTTTTATACTCACTTCTAGCACAAAATTGAGAAAACTCAGAGAAAGGGGCACAGTTGCTAGGATACAGCAAGTAAGAATGCTAAAGTAACCAGGACAGAAGAAGTGGCAGTAAAATATAATTGAAAAGCAATCGTGGCAGGAAACGTGCTATCTTATACCTAAGTGCTTGTGTCTTTACGACCACATTTGCATTTGTTGATGTTCATGTATGCTGTATGTGAGCGTACTGTTTTTCCTACCAAAGTCAGCCAGTTTCAGCTCGCCCTTGTCGTTGATGAGCAGGTTCTGAGGTTTTAGGTCTCTGTGGAGGATTTTCCTCTTGTGACAGTAGGACAGACCGCGCAGCAGCTGGAACATGAAGATCTGTAGGAGAAAAATTAAAATTAGGAGGATTAAAAATTAGACATCTGTTTGATAACAATGGAATATGGATCATCAGCTGCTTAGGGAATGATTGGCTGTCAGGGTTTCTATTGTTCATAAAATCACTCAGTGACTCTTCCAACCATTAGGATAGGAAAAAGTTTTTAACCAAGTTCTTATTTTTCAGGAAATCACATGCTTAGCTGTGTGACTAACAATTTGTAATACACATTAAACATTTGTTTAATGATTCTGTCAGATTTCTGCTCTGATTCTCTGAATAACTCCTCTGTTCAGACTGTGAATTAATTTCATTGTTTCAATTCCAGGCCTCCATGGCTCCATACCACAAATAATTCTGATTAATTAGTTGCTTTTTGGCTTGAAAACAAGCAGCTGCAAACCTTTAAGCTGTGTATGCATGGTGGGGCACTTGAGAATGTTTGTTATGTGAGTGAAACAGATGTATGATATGGGTTATTTTATGTATTTGTACAGATGTAAATTAATACAAGTCCCTCTCTTGGGTACGTAGTCAGTAGTGTTGCTGCTGCTGCTGAGTCATTTTCATGCATCTGGCTCACCTTGACATTATGCATGCTCATGAGATTCCCGCAGTTGTCCAGGTACTGTTTAAGGTCACTGTCCTGGAAGACACAACAGCCACAGAGTCAGATGTATCTAGGTCAACACCTTGTGAACATCTGCACGCTGAACTGTCAATGTACTCACTAGATACTCAAACACCAGAGTGAGGCAGCGGTCGGTGTGGATGATGTCGTGCAGCGTGACGATGTTGGCATGTTTCAGGTTCTTCAGCAGAGAAACTGAGTTGAAAGAAGAAGGAGAAATGAGTTGTGCTGTTTTCTGCAGGAGCCTAAAACGTGACTCCAGCTCAATGACAGCAACAGTAGACACTAATATAAAACAGTCTACTGACAGCCTGGAGCTGCTGCTCTGACAATAGCTACGACTTCAGGTTAAATACAGCTTTAAACTTGTGTTGTCTGAGAAAAATAATCACCTGCTCTCTTAAACTTATAGTTGTGTCCTCAAGAAGCTGCAGTTTAAACTGCATCTGTGGTTCAGTCTAAACTCAGCTGCTGTGTCCTGGAGAAATCACCTTACTGCCACTGGAGGTCACTGTTTCTGAGGTTGAACTTAATCCTACTGCAGATATGTCTCAATTTCACACTATACTAATCCTGTACAGTATATAATAATCTTTATGGTAGAGTCAATGTCAGAACATTGTATATTATTATACAGTGTGTAATAGCAACTGTGTAATTACATGTAAGAGGTGTCACATCTGCATAATTTGTGATTTTAGACAAAGGATTAACCATGTATTAATTAACGCAGCTCATAATGCAGCAATAATTAAGCTATATGTGAGTGAAAATTGGAGATTAAATTATGATTCACTCACTTCCTTGTAGTAGGGCTTTACCTAAAATAGAATTATTATCCACCTGAGGGCAACCCACCTAGACTGGAAAATGTGTGTGTGTGTGTGTGTGTGTGTGTGTGTGTGTGTGTGTTTGTGTTTGCTGATGTGTGTGTGTACCCTCTCTGATAGCAGTGCAAGGTGCTCCCTCCTCGTGCTCCAGCCGAATCTCCTTTAATGCCACCAGGTTCTCTGTTAGTTTGCTTCGCCCTTTGAACACTGTGGCATACGTCCCCTATTAAAACACACACACACACACACACACACACTGCTATCACAGTCCAGTCACTGATGTTGGCATTTTACATTTCTTGAAATCACAAATATGTTATATTTGTATGTTTCATACATATCACATCAAATTTTTAACTAAGTAATGTAGTTGTTTTTTAAGTGAGTCATCACTGCATTTTTTGTGTCTTTTTAAGCCACCATACATGGGAGTGTTTTAGGGACCTGTTGATATTTTTTCACTGGGAAGAGTACCGCCAAAAGTGGTTGTTCTTTAATGAGACATCTCTGCGCTTCCTGGCAGGATTGTGCCACCAATTTAGACAAATCATGATCTTTTCCTAACCACAACCAAGTGGTCTTTGTGCCTTAACCCAACCACACGTTAACCACAGTGTCTTTGAAACCTAAAGCTATGTTAAGTTTCAACGTATCCACTACATACTAACATACAAATGTAATGTATCCGCGGTGTGCACAAACATGCAATGCCAACATTTATTCTGGTGATTGGGTTGATTAGCAGCCTCAGATCATAACATGCTTGCAAGCTTCTCAAACAGGCTTTGACTTAATCCATTAATTCAGTGCTTATTTATTTCACTGAGGGCTGATAATTTCTAATTACTGACTATAACAGCTGAGGTGATTGTCCTTCATATACCCTGCAGTAGCTTTTAACTGCTTAAAATCCTTCTATCATTATGCAGTTGACTGTAGGTGTCCTAATAACTACTAAGGGTGCAAAACTTTTCAGATATTAATAAAAGGAACAGCAGCAAATGACGTACTTTTATGATGGCCAAATGCGGAAACCTTTCACTGCCTGTAAACCAACCATGCCTTTGTGAATCACAAGTTATTTTAATTGACTACAAGAGCCGCTCTATTCAATCCCTCATCACTGCTGTTATCTGCTGCTGAGCCTTGTGACTGAGACTAAGGCAGACAGCTTCCGCCACTAATCATTCCTAACTCCTTCAGGCAATAACTGTTCTCAGATAAATGGTGTGGGATTTAGGTGCACTGGCCGTATCATGCAATCTGTACAGTCCTCCTCAACCAAACGTGACACTACAGAGTACCATATATCTGAGTACATGGTGGGACTGCAGTTTTAATACTTGCCAGGCTGCGCCAGCCAAGCAGTTTTTCTTGTTCAGGCATATAAACCAACCTGTATGTGTTGTACCCACTTTGAGGGGCCCTTGGGGCTTGGGGCACAACATGCCTGATAACTATAATTAAGATTCGCAGACAACTTGTGGTCAGCGTGGTCGACATTATACACTAGAGAGATGGTCCATCGTGTCTGATAAATGTCTATCTAGCTTCCAGTTATTGCTGCAGTGGGTGTAGCAGTCGTACACTCATCTCTCACAGGGCTGCATGTCAGCTGTTTCCATCAACCCTCTGAAAACTGTTCAAAGTGGAATGTGTGAGTTATTGGTAGAGACTTACCTCACCCAGTTTGCCGAGCTTCACGTATGTCTCCAGTTTCCCAAAGCCTATATCAGACTGGAGGCAAGAAGAAAAAGGCAGACTGATCTCACAGTGTTCACTGTTATGATTCTCTCCTCTGATTAAACCACGGAGCAGTCAAAAGATCATATTTCCAAACACTGCTTAATTATTTCTAAAGTTAATTAAGTACAAATCCTTTCTTACTCTGTCAACTTGGTATGAAAAACAAACACCTCTTAATGGAGAACTGGAATGGGAAATAGCAAAGAAAATAAGAGACTAATTATGGTGACACTTTATTTGATTAGTCTGCCTGCAGATATTTGTAACATGAGTATTTGTAAAATTTCAAGTTTATTAGTTGAGATTCAACAAGCTTTGTCTGTAGATGTGATAATTCATGTACAAAATCCAATAAAAAGATCCATCACAGTATGATATTAAATTGACTCTTAGATTCTCAGAATGGCATTAATGCTCTTTGCAGATGATGTGGTTCTGTTGGCTTCATCACACTGTGACTTCCAGCATGCACCAGGGCGGATTGCGGTTTGCAGCCAGAGTGCGAAATGGTTGGGATGAGAGTCAGTACCTTCAAGTCTGAGAGAGTTACTGCCTCAAGCTAAGGAATTCAAGTATCTCAGGTCTTGTTTCCGAGTGAGGGTAAAGTGGAGTGAGAGATGGATCGGTGGTTTGGCAAGGTGTCTGCAGTGATGTGCAGCGTCCTTTACCTCACCTATGGTATGAGCTTTGGGTAGTGACCGAAAGAATGAGATTGCTGATACAAGCAGCCGAAATGAGTTTCCTCCATAGGGTGGCTGGGCTCAGCCTTAGAGACAGGGTGAGGAGCTCAGACATCCAGAGGGAGCTTGGAGTAAACTTGCTGCTGCTTTGCGTCGAAAGGGGCCAGTCGAGGTGGTTCTGGCATCTGTTTAGGATGCTTCCTGGGGGCCTCCTGTTAGAGATGTTCCAGGCATGTCCAAATGGTAGAAGGCCCCTGAGCAGACCCAGAAAATGCTGCAGGGATTATATATCTTAATCTGGCCGGGGAACACCTTGGCTTCCCCCAGGAGGAGCTGGAAAGTGTCGCTGGGGAGAGGGACATTTAGAGTACTTTGCTTAGCTTGCTGCCCCCATAATCCAGCCCCGAATAAGATGAAAATGGATGAATGCACAATGATACAGCTGACATCACAAAGTCTGCTATGATACAACTTTGAGCTGTTCTACTGACAAAGTGATACAGTTGAATTGTTGAATCTCAACTAATAAGCTGTTAAAATTTTACAAATACTCTTTAACCTATCTGTAGGTGGACTATTAAAATAAAGTGTTACCTAATAATACAGAAGGACAAAAATAATAATAATAGCAGAAAAGCAAGATAAGAGGACTAGTAATTTGTGGAGAGAAAATATGCTTTGTAACATGAGCCGAGACATTCACTGGTTCAGAGAGACTATAGATTTTAAAATAAACAAGGAGCCAATATGGTTGCTAAAATGAGATTTACAGTTAGTTAGATTAGATCAACAAACAGTCTTACAGTGGTTATTTGAATATTATAATATATTTTTGATAGATCGATAAGTATGAAGTAATAAAAAGCACTAACCAGTGAAGCACGTCGAGACATGCGACTGAGAGGTTTGCAGAGCGGTGAGTTTTCACTCTCCAGCTGCAGTTTCTTGAGAAACTCTGGGGGCAGGCGGATGTCCATGGGCAGAGACATGCGCTTACTGACGTCCTGCAGGATTGTGGGTGTAGAGTTTAGCCATATTTACAAACTATACATCTCTAGACAACCAAATCATGACATATGGCCAAGAACTAGCTTTCCCCCTACATGCACATAAATACAGGTACTGACATCTTGTCTACATAGAAGGTGTTTCTGTTGCATATGTCAGTGTACGCAGGCATCTGTTTGAACACATACGCTCCTATTTTAATCAATACAGCTGTTTGCAGTAACAACTTGTGTTTTACTTTACAAGTCTTTTTTTTTCCATTTGATGTCTGCACCTACAATGTTTGTGTAATGGGTTCTGAGCACTGCCAAAATGTGAATGACCTACACTAAACACAGTGCCTGGAGGCATCTTGCATAGACACAGACTGTTCTGGTAACAAGCTGCTTTCACTACCCAGCCTGTGCAGACATTGTGTTAAAGTCCAGCTAAAATCCCTTTAGGTAATTTCTCTTTGTAGTCAAAAATAAGGGCAGTCTTTAAAAATGTATTATTACCTGTTTTTGTATTATTAAAATGAAGACAAAGGGTCTTTGAAGAAATAATCAGACATGCTCCTTTTTGTCTCAGCTGGCAATGCGGTCTCACTCCCAACTCGTCAAAAACTGATGCTTGGTCAGTGGTCCTCTGCATCTAAGACCGATGCACCGAGGCACCCTTTAGTGGTGGTATGAGATGCACCAGGTGGCAAGATCAGTTGCTTGGGCTCCAAGCAACTGGCATATTAAGAAAGTCCTCATGGAGCAGGCAGGCAGGATGGTGTATGGGTCAAACAAGCCCTGGACTTTCACCCGAAAGACCACTATTGACACGCTGTCCATGATCATCCAAAACTGATGCAGTAGAGGTTCCTTAAGCATCATACCTTGACCTGTAGGGGCACTGACCGAGCGTTGGTATTTGACAAGTTGGTAGTAAGACTGTGTTGACATGTTAGCCTGGTTCCAGACCATAGACCCCGCCCACTCAACTGAGTAGGCTTGCATCCCTGGTCTGGCATACTGCAATGAATTTGCGATTTATCTCGTCCAAACGATCGAAGGACCAATGAACGCCGGGGGTGGGGGCAGGTCTAGCGATTAGCCAATCAGCGCCACGCTGATGTCAAGCTGTGCGTCGGTGGGTAACTGGTGAGGATAGCAACAATGGCGACTGCTACGGATCCTACAGACCACATTAACGATGCTATCGAGGTATTTCGCCACTACTCGCGTTAATGGAGGACCAAATTAAGGAAGCTGCTAAACTGGATTTAATGGCGATGCAGCTGGGTGTGCACAACGATGGAGACATTTTAAACGGGCAATACTTGCTTGTTTTCAGCACCCCCGAGGCATGGATACTAATGACGTCAGATTCTGGGTGAGTTGTTGATCTCTACTGATTGGTTAGGGAAAAATCAAATTCCCTCCACCTTGTAATTCGCCTTCAATGGAGGCGATGTCTGACTGAAGGTTCTGGGAGCTTCAGTCAGACACTCAGGCTATTGACATGTGACAATCTGTTCACACCACAGTCTGGAAATGAGGCTAGTCAGTCAAAAGTGAAATCACCTGTGTGGGTGTACCATGGATGTGCAGGGCCTTTAAATGTTAAGGAGTCATTAATTAATGAAGGGCTCTTCCATTTGCCTAATAAGTCAAGTCTGGGCTTGTAAATGTTAATGAGTTAATAAACCCATTTTGGTCTTAATGCTCTGTGGCTCTTTTCCAGAAGATAAATGGTTGAACTGTCCATTGGAAAGGTCGTCCTGATGAATTAGCAAAAGCTCTAGCTGAAAAGACAACGTTATATACACCAGCTTATGAGATTTTTCACATCCTGGCAAGCATAAAATTGTCCTTATTAATGGATTACTGATTTGCAGTAGCATAAATTAATCATACAGCTGTAGTTACAACTTGTAAACTCTTTAATAGAAAGAGTTACATACTGTACATATCCTATGCCTGCTGAATAAAGCCATCCAGATAGTCTAGCTCCCAGACCTCTCACTGTTGCAACATTATTTCTGTCATCACAGTACCACGTCCTTCCTGAGCACTCACTTCCCTCTGGCATAGCTTCACTTGACTGTCTGCTACGAGCTGTGTGGAGCATGAGACAGACTCGAAGTGAATCACACTCACTCCACAGGGACTTTTTCTGAAAAGGTGGAACTGTGAACTCTCTCACATTTCCAATAAAAAGTCTGGTGCTTTGGCAAGAGAACAAAAGCCTCGGAGGTTACTCATCTCATTGAGCTGGCAGAGGTGGAAATGAAGAAATGACTCCTGGGGAAGAGTTTAAACAGAAGAACAAACTACACAGGCCACCGCTGAGATCTATGTTAAACTTTCTTTTAATGCTTTAAATGTGCAGTTGAACCATGACAGTTTCTAATTAGTGCTTAATTGGCAACACACAAATTACTGTGGAAGAAAAACTTGTCAGCATGTAACTCCAGCATGACTGAAAACCAAGGGGAACACTTAAGCTGTTAACCTGTTCATCTGTGATATTAACCTGTGTCCTCCTACAGTTGCTCCTTGAGCCTCTGCTACTTACCTCCATGGAGAAACGTCTGTGCTGGGCCTTGCTGTGGAAGTGGAGGTGGGACGGAGACTGAGCTCCCGGTGTTGTTGGCTCAGGGCTTGAAGGACTGGCATCATGAAATGGAGGGCCCAGCCTGTCTGGAGTCAGGCCTGACAGAGCAGAAACATTATCACTTAACATTTGCACATGTACAGATGGGTGACAAAGGTAAACCCAACTGTGTGTGTTCCAGAACAGCTGAAATAAACAGTAAATTTTCCCTGCAGAACACAGGAGCTGCTGGTCTACTGCTGCCTCAGTCAGTTAGTTAGGTTGTGTTATTGTGTGACTTTGGTGTTTTAAAGGGTTAGTTCAGATTCACCTAAGTCACACAATGGCTTGGCAGTGGTAGAACAGTGGCTCCCGTGGTCTGCAAGGTAAAATTGTGTTTTTTGTCAATAGCATGTGGCTTTGAAGAGAGCGAAATGACGGTTTCAGTTAGATGCTCAAAAGGGCTGTCTGACAGCAAGGTAAAGCCATGGAAATATTCTAAATATAGCATACACCTAAACTGATACAGATCTTTTTTTAGGTAGAACTTTTCTTTGATGGCTAAAATATGTTTTGCTGCATCTGTCCACACAACCCTGTCTCCTGGAAATTCTGTTTGCATGTTACTAAACTGCCCCCTTAATCATTTTCTTTTGGTTGAGTAATTTCTGCCTGGATTATGTTCAGAGACAAAGTTTCTTTCAGGTAACGAAACACTAGGTTAATGTGTCGTACAGGCATTTGAAAGAGGTTGTTGGGGAGAATGGCGGGCATAAAAGCGCAGGACCTTGGCACCAGAACTTTATGTTTGTGTCCAGACTCATGTCTTAGGTTTAGGCAAGAAAAGCACTTTGTTCAAGGCTAGGAAAGATAGTACTTCTGGTGAAATATTAAAAAATAATGCCGTGGTCACTATGAGTGGATACTGTGTTGCTAGATTGCCTATTTTGGCAGAAAACAGCCGGAATTTGAACATTGAACATTTTGCTGAAATACATTACATTACTCTTTATGTCAATAGGAAATTCTCTTGACATTACATCTCCCTTATAAACGTATTTGCTGTTTCAAATTAGTTGTATATAAAGATAATTTTAGAGATAAGGAACTCATCCACAACAGTACATTGCTTAGCTTCTGTGGTGGTACTCTGCCTGCTTCTCCGAACCGGCATTGCCTGACTGACATCTAGTGTATGTAATACACTGACTATGGATAAGTACCTCATGCAACCCCACTTCAAAAGATCCAAACCAACCCCTTATGGGGTAGCCTCTGTAGTTGACATGCCCCTTTTATAAGAGACAATTACAGTACATGTAGAGCCACCTGGAGACTGCAAGAACTGTGACGGGTCAGTTTTGGCTGCATGCTTTTTTGTCTACAAAGTGCTGTTTGAGATTGCTGATTGTTGGAATGGACTTTGAGCTTCTTGTTTTCAGAGACGAGGCTCATCAAGACTATAGAGGAGATTATTGTTAAGCCAGCTGAAGCAAACATAACACACTATTATACTCTGTGAGCACACCAGCATTTCAGTGTGACAGCTATCCAGCCACTGTAATGGGAAGAATGGATTTTGATCCTCATAATACAACACTGACTGTGATGTGTGTTTGATGCCTGGTCGGCGTCTTTTGAATGCTACCTGCTGTGAGGATTCAGCTGCAGTTTGATCTCCAGTTTCAATACTGAGTGTTGGCCGCTTCACCGGTACGGCAAGTGTGGGGTGTTAAGTGGACATGTGTCCCCATTTTATTGGCAGCTTTCAGGTGTGCATATGTCTGTGTTACAACTGTTCCCTGCTGGGGTGAAGCACAAAGCTCTTTAACTCCTTGTTTCCATGGGGATGATGGCTAACAAGGGAAGCGGGTCTCAGTGTTAAGGGGTAAATCTCCTATACTGTATCTCCGTAAAGCCTCCCCCCAATAACGCACACTTTATATACATGATCATGAATATTAACTGCATGACCTCCACACACATACATGTACAATACATAACCTATAACAAGCAATGACAAAAAAATATAAAGGAAGCAGACAAATAGAGGCCAAGGGGGCTGTCAGATTTTAAAATGCTTGGATGAGTTTAACAAGGCGTTTGTAACAGCGCTACAGAGAGGCTTCTAACAGGCCACTTGGCATGAGATTGATTGACAGTCTAAATGGGCTGGGAGGATGAGATGACAACCTGTTTGCTAGTCATTTGAATATCACAGCTACAGCGCTCCTTTGATCTCCAGACGCTAATTAGGGTCAGTGAATGTGACGCTGATATGAGCTTACACACACACAGTGTCTGATTGCTGAGATATGGATGAATGCCTGTTAGACATCTTATTAGGAATAAAAAGCAATCCAATATCGTATGCTGCATGATGTTTTTGTAGCGTATCCATCTGGAGCTGTGGTTACAGGGAGCGGGAAACAGAGGTAGAGAGGACTCAGAAATAACTGTGGAATTGTGTTGGGAAATAACCTTCACAAATATTGGCAGAATTAACACCCAGTCTGTTTGAACCGACAAGCTGGTCAATGCCGTTAATGAGCCTTCGTCAAGGACAGACATTTTCCAAACACTATAAAACTCATGTTACAAACCTTGATGAAAAATCCTGAGAGTACTTAACAAGACTAGGAGTTTACAGCCATGCTACTGTGTCGCTTTGCCTGTACTGGAGTTTTTGGCTAAATGCTAACACTGGCATGCTAACAGGTTCACAACAACAATACTAACATGCTCATGTTTTATCGCGCCCGTCCCCTAGTTGTCAAATACCCACGCTTTGTCACTACCCTTGGCGTGTGGTAAAGGTGCCAAAGGCACTCTAGCATATGTATGAGATGTGCAGGGCTTTCAGCTTATCCAGTGTAAACCCATCCACAGCCATACTTGACACTGTGACCAACTGACTCAGTATAAAGAGCACAGTAAAAGCAGCAGCACATTTACATTGTGTTATTACTACTTGTCAAGTAGTTTTGTTGCCTAAATCTAACCGAGACCCTTTCACAACATTAACCCAAGTTACAATGTGTTTCATCTGCGCGTCACATAGAGACACTGGAGGGTGCCCTGTGTGTCGCTATCAGACGCTGAACGCCATGACAAAGCGTCAGCATCTGACAACTTGAGAATAAGGACAGGTTAGTTTAGCTGGTGTAATGTTTACTATGATCACCACTGCAGTTTGGTGTGATAGCATGCTAACATTTGCTAATTAGCATTTAACACATAGAACAGCTGAGGGTGATGGGAAATTATTTGTAAACCAAAGTGTTAGATACAATAAGGAGACTTTAATAAAACATAAGGGATCACCAAAGTTATTTCAAAGTTAGCGACAAGCTAGTGAATGAAATGGAGTACTTAGCTGCTAAAGAGATTTTTCAGGAGTTGGTGGAGACAAAAACAGAGCTAAAAAAGATGATTGGACTTTGGATTGGATTGACCAGAAACAGGACTTCACATAAAAGCTAATTTTGATGTGTGTCTGCTGGATGTAGTCATCTGTTTGCTAACACTTTGACCATAACAGCTTTACAAGGTGCATAGTATACTGCTTATATCTTGCTACGTTGCTCACATCTGACAAAGACAAAAAAAAAAAAAATCTGATTCATAAGAAAACTCTGTAGAGTAGCTTTAACTGAGGCAAAGCTAAAACTGTCATGTGGTCAACAGGTTATGCGGTAGGTTTATGGGAACAGTAGCTAATGGTGTTTTTCCTGTAAAATCAAATGGCAGTGTGTTTTGGCCAACAGCCAGTCAACATAACCAAGATAAGAGAATCTCACCTGCTTGGTAATAAAGGTTATTTTTTCTGCCACTGTGTGCCAGAGGGTTCTATAATTTAAAATGGCTTAATGAAAACCAACAAAGTCAACACTGGTGCTACTTTTATTTAATTTAATTGTATCATTTGACTATTTTATCCGCTTATGTTGTTTAACTATATTGTATATGCTTAGCTTGTATATGTTTAACTGTATTGTGTGTATGTCTTTTTACCACGTTTTTAACTATTGCAGCATACATATTGAATTAATTCATAAAATATCAGGCAAAGGAACTGCCAACAGCCTTTCAGCAAACAGGTGCATTTGTTTGAATGTCGATTAATCTACATTGTATCTTTTTTAAATAAAACATAAATTAAATCGATTCAATTGAAGACTCAACCAACCCACTGTCACGTGTTAGCGATTCAAATCAACAGACTTTAATAACTGATTTGTTATCCCTTTAATCAGGATTTGTTTCTTCTCTGCAGAGAATTTTTGGTATCAACTGTGATTAAGAAAAATCTCTCATCAGAGCGCTGATGTGTCACCGTGGCATATGTGATTACTCTCATGTTCATATTGGAGCTCAGTAAAACAGCTTAATGGACTAATATATGGAAAGCAAACAAGGGGATTGAGCCTAATGTGAAATATTAGCAGTTAGTCAGGCAGGAAGTCCTGGCTACCTCTAACACTGACTGATACACAGACGCACACACCTTCACATATACACTTTGAAGCTAGAGCAGCTTATTTTTGTGCTCATGTGTCGCTGTATCTTATGTGTGTATCTCTGTGTGCCTAAGGGAATGCCCATTAGTTCATCGGGCTCATTGATCTGAGACTGATTGACTTTCTTTGTGTGTCAGCGTCTCCCAGCTGCACGTGTTTTTAAATGTGAGAGATGATATGAGAGAATCCAGTAATCTGATGAGTGAAGTTAAAGTCACTCGAGCATGAGCTGCATATTTAATAAGATTTGTTTGCACAGTTGTGAACAATTTTCTGTAAAAGCAGGGGAAACAGGTAGCCTGGCTCAAAAATCAGCCTACCTGCCTCTCTAAAGCTCGCTAACTAACACGTTGCATGATTACCAACTCTCTGCAATCAAGCCAATTAGCATATTTCCAAAAATGTCAAATGACAGCCTGTTCTCATTCCCAGGTTGTCAAACAGCAATTCTTTGTCTCGCCCCTTGGCGTTTGATATTGACACTAAAGGCACACTTCAATCTTGATGAGACGCATCGGGTTGCAGTTAACTCCACTGTAGACTTATCCATAGCAAACACCTAATGCTGAGAGCAACCGACATAGTATAAGGAGCAAGAAAGTCTGTATAGCATGGGAGGGAGGGGAGGTGGATGGGTCAAAGAAACCAAGATGTGACCCTGGAGACTGCAGTTCATGTCCCATGTGAAACCAAAAGTCAATGTTAATGGTGTATATGTGCTCCAAATAATGCCTTTACCAAACATTAGCCTCAATATTCACTGGATCTACTGACAAAACATGCATGGACCACATGTTGTGTTCAGATCATTATATCCTTGCAAAAATGTCAGAGGATGTTTTCCATTTAAACAGCAGTATGATGTAAGCAGCATGATATAATCCCTCACATGGGACAGAAGAGTGCAAGACAGAAAAGAGAAATGAACAGGGAAAAGGTGAGTGTAAACATCAGCTGGATTTAGGTCAAATGCTCTGTCTTTCTTTGTGTCTCCTTTCTGTCTCTTCACTCAGTTGTTTACCTCCATGTCTTTGTCCTCTTCCCCCCTTTCTCTCTCTCTCTCTGCCTGTCTGTCTGTCCCTGTCTGGTTACCTCTTTCCTGACCTTCAGGAACAGACAGTGATGCAGACAGATGTACTCTGGGGGGTTAAACTACATATCCAGCTGTTTCTCTCTGCCAGGCAGCCGAATAACAGCCTCACTTTACAGAACTCTATGTTCACACAAGAGGCAGCGGCTTTAATTGCCTGATTATGATTAGTTGATGTGATAAACAAACAGGTCTGATGAAACCACAGTACATAGTGCTTACTTTAATGCTTGTGCACCGGTCTTGGCATAAAATCTAATCGTTATTTTCCAGCTTAAAGCAATTAAAGAACAATGCACAGTGATGACATCATGCAAGATGAAGCAGTTAAACATCCTAGTAACTCTGCAATCTAATGGTACATATGTATTAATGCAATTCATTCATGTTATTCCATCTCATTGTACTATCTTCACAGTCAAACTTTGCATCATAAAGCAGAGACACTCAAAGAACCTAATTCTGAGTGCACTCAGTTCCTTTGCATTATCTACTACCACTTATCCCACCATAACCCTCATTTCCCTTTGAAGCCTGCTGATCCTCTGTGACTAAGCTTCGGTGGTGGTACCAGTCGTAGCCGGAAAAACCCCAGTTAATCTGCGAGGGTCCGCTACAGACACGGAAGGAAGGGAGGCTTTTGTATTTGGCATTAAAACCCAGAATGAGATTGCAGTTGTGCTCTATTATTAGACCTGAGCTGTTCATTCACACAGGGACCAAAAGATACAAGGAAGTAGAGGAGCTCAGGGTTTAGGACTTTGAACATGCTTAATTAACCAATGGTTTATTGGTTACAAAATTGTTTTCTTAGCCACTGTGGCCAACCTGTCAAACACTGAACTCATTGAAATGGAGTTACAAAAAACATTTCTATATGGTATCCTACACAACCAAAATACCTGCAAACTGTAACAGGAGAGACATTCTGTGGGCTTAAAGGGATACTCTGCTGAATTTCAACCAGCTTTGTGTCATAATAATCTGGGTCATAAGTGTAAATGAACTGTTTCCTCTATCATGCCAGAGTCCCTATCTTTTTTCACTAATTTGGCAGCAAAAATCTGCCCGAGGACGGATTTTGCTTCACTCAGAAAATAAATAACTATATTCTGTCACAGTTACAGTTTTAATTGAAGTTTAAATTCTGAATACAATTACTGTCTTTAAAAATACTTAAAGGGATGACTTTCTTTGTTCTGTTTCACTGGTTCTAACACCGTGTCCTCACTGAATGCAACATGAGCGAGCATCAAGTTTGATTACAATGTTTTCTACTGGAATGTTCTAACTGGCTGCAAGCGACACAGCGCTGCTGGTTTGAGCTGAACTTTTGTTGCCCTGTTTCTATTTATTCCTGTTGCCAGTTTTTAAAGCTCCACAGTGGATAAAGAATTTACACAACATCTCCTCATTTAACTACAAAAACCTAAATGAGGTGGCAACAGACTGAACAAAGATCACCAAAGAGCTGTAAATGACCAGTGCTAAGAACAACCTACTTACTGCTGGCTATATTGTTTGTCATTTCCAGTAAATCCCAATAGAAAAAGAGTCTTCTGTCTAAAAAGTGCAAATGTAAAGAGATAAAAAGCTCTCACTCTCCATTTCTATAGTCTTTGTGTCTGTGGTGACGGCAGGCATAAAAATGAGTGAGAACAATCTATAGTTCAAGCAACAGCCCAAGTTTTAATTTAAAATTTTAACTAGACCTTAACCATTGTACTAACAACCCAACACAGTTTAATGTCAAAAACTTTAACAACAATTTGGAGGAATTTCTTTAAATTTGGGACCCACACAGTATATCATTAAGGTTACCAAGAGGTCCCCCATGGCTGAATGACACTTAAGTTAGTGACATGCAGGTTCTTACCCTGAGTGTGCTGTATGTTGAGCTGGTTTATCTGCTCAGTGAACTCATTCTCCTCAATGGTCTCAGTGCGAGGAACAGAAAGAGAAAAACGCCTCTTAAAGTTCTTCATCTTGTGCATGTTGCTGAGGAACAGACTCTGGGAGAAGAGAGAGACAAAAAGAGTGACATTCATCAAAAGGTGTACTATTAATTCTCCAATCCATCAATTCATGCAGCATATGCATCAAAACAGTCTTTGATGCTTTTCTCAAAGAAAAATATGAAAGGTGCAATATT